ATATATATATATATATATATGCATATAAACATTTGTGAATATATAATTCTAAGTATTTGTAGTTGTTCTATTACTAGTTTGTGATTCCAAATAATATAATGACTATGGTAAGTTGTTATAATATAAATGAACTGACTCCGTGAGATCCCCTAAAAGAAAAAACTGCCATTGCCATCGCCTTTGTGAGTGTAAGAACAGAAGATGTAAAAGAAAAAACTTGACATCATTACAAGTAATTTCTAAATTGAAAAAAAAGGAATAATTTTCTTTTCAAGTAAATTAGTAAGAAGAAATTAAAAAAAGTTGGTACAAGTTGATTAAAATATCTTATGAAAATAAGTTAAAACTACTAAAAACAAGTTTGCAAATTTTGGTTAAATTAGATTATAAGTTAGTTAAACTAATCCTGTTAGAGTAACTAACCAAATAGATTCATAGTAGGAAATAAATAAACTTTTATTCAACTGATTAATGAACTTTACAGCGTGATTGCTCAGTGCGGGCCTTCTCTTCCGCATTATTTACAAGCCACTGGCCAAAAACATTTCATTAAACAGAAAGCCTATCTCAGACGTGGAAGCAGAGCTTCATAAACCTAAGCCATAGTTTAAAAAAAAAAATTAAATAAACCCTTCAACTAGAATTTATGAGAAACAAAAGGTTTAGATGACAGTTCCACTGGGAATCAGAGCATCCTTTATTACTGTCACAATCCCACTTTTTATGAAATACCCATCTGTTTCTCTTGAAGCTTCTTGGACATTGTCACTGTTAAGAATCTGACAATTGGAACCAAAGGTAGTTAGAACTAGAAAATCTCATAACACTTGACACTAATGGAAACAAAGTATGGCAACATCAGAGTATGAAAATAAAATATGGATATATTTAGTGAGTTTATATGAGTAAGAAGCAAATTTGACTCGTATAAATACATATGAATTATCCGGAGAAAGTTATGTGAATATTTAAAATTCTCAATTGACTTGTATAAATATTTATTTTTCTCTCACATAAATATACAATGTTTCAAGTGAAAAACTATTGATTATTGTATATTTTTAACTACAATCTTAAGACAAAATTAATGATTCAGATTGCATATTTAATTATAAATCAATAATCAATAGTTTCACCCTTTGTCTTAGGATGAAATGGCTTATATAATGTAAAACAAGGAATTAAATTGGTATATAATTGACGATGTTATTACCTTCACATTTTCCCCAATTCGAGCATTCTTGTCTATAATTGCCCTTCTGATATGAGAGTTCCTACCGATACCAATTGGAACACTGCCTTTAGCAGCTAGAAACCTCTTATCAGCATCCGTCTGGAACACAACAACCAGAAAACGAATGTTGCTGTTAAAATCACTTGTCAAACTAAAACCACTCTTGTTAACCTTACTCAAATGCAGCTACAACTCAATCCAAGCGTTTAAAATTAGACCACTTTCATACGTGAAACCATGACCATTAAATCTTGGAAATACTAGGCGTAACGGTGCAAGTTATTTAACCACATTATTACCTCGTAATAATCTGCCCCCATTAACAACGTCTCTTCAATAATTGCACCTTCTGATATGCAAGATCGCAGCCCAACCACAGAATGGTGAATTTTGCAGTTCTATGGAACAAAATATGGAATACAAGGTTAGTTTCCTATAAATAAAAATTAATTTCATTATATTTGACATTTTTGTTAAGATTTGTATAAATCTCATTTATAGAACAGATCAGTGGAATGTAAAAGTCATAAAAAGCTTACCTTAATCACACATCCTTCACCGATAACACTATCAGTGACATCAGCATCAAGCATCTTGGATGGAGGCAAATACCGTGGTTGGGTGTAGATTGGAGATGATCGATCATAGAAACTGCATTCAATATCCCAGAAAATATGAACAAATATGCCTCATAATCAATGTGTTATCACTGACATAAATTAGTCAATATGAAGACTATATCAAATATCCTCATATAGTTTTACCTGAAGTCAGGCACAGGCTTTTTGGTGATTCCCAGATTTGCATTATAGAAAGCCTCAATTGTACCAATGTCTTCCCAGTAGCCATCATACAAGTAAGCTTGCACCTACGAATATCACAATATTCTCAAAAAATGCATGCTATAAACTTTACCATGCATGAAGAAAATAACAGGAAAGTTCTGCATATTAAACAACCGGAAGGAACACATACTCTCAATCCCAAAGAAGTTGCACCAGGAATCACTTCACTCCCAAAGTCATTTGCACCAGGAAACTTCTCACGGAGCAGGTCTAACATCACACTTTTGCTAACAACATATATACCCATGCTAGCAATAAAAGGCATTTCCTTTGCTCTCTCGTCATCAAGACCCAAAATAGTAGTATCAACCTAGTATAGAAAAATGACATTGGCATTTTAATCAATTGTTTAGGTAATAATTTCCAGATAAATAACAACATTTAATCTGTGTCATATGGGCTTACCTTCATAGCTTTCAACTGGTCTCCTTTGGGCTTTTCGGCAAATTGAATTATACGCCCCTCTTCATCAATCTTCATGAGACCAAATGCAGTGGCACGCTTTTCATCCATTGGCAATGCAGCCACAGTGATATCAGCGTCAGTTTCCCTATGTGCTTGAATAAATTTTTCGTAATCCATTCGATACAAATGGTCACCAGCCAGAACTAAGAATTCCAAAACATTGTGCTCTTCAAAAAGCCATAAATACTGCCTCACAGCATCTGCGGTACCCTGCAATAGTAACATCAAGTTTATTCAAATATCATATCAAAAGATGATAAAAGTCATCCAGGTGTACCTAAAAATTTGAGGTACATGACAATGGAAAGAAACTAATTTTCCAAAGCAAAAGATATTTCAAAAAACTTTAATTTCTATATATCGGCAATCAATTAGAAATCATATATGATAGAAATAGTGATATTTATGATTTTTAAAGATTGTCATGGTAAAAGACAACAAACTTACTATTTCTCTTATACCATCTTAAGAATGTAAATATTGAGTTTAGCTCAACCACTTTAGCCGATGTGAAACCTCCAATAAGATCCTCACATAACATACTTCTATTATTGGTTAAAATTATTGAAAGCTACAAAATTATGAGATATTTATCAAATAAAGTGTATATTCATTAAATAAATGTCAAACATTGTATTCCTAGCATTTCTCAGACAATTACACAAGCTATTGAATCCTCAAATACTATAAAGATTTAAGGTGTTATTACCTGGAACCAGTTAGGATTCTCAGGACTCTGCTGGGCTGCAAGAACCTCAACAAAACCCTCATTCTTGTAGCCACCCATGTTGCTTGCATAAGCACGGGAGAGGTGGCGGTTGAGGGATGCAGAATTGAATTGCGTGAGAACATAGATCTTGGAGACGTTGCTATTCAGGCAATTACTAACAGGAATATCAATTAGCCTGTAGTTAGCTCCAAGAGGAACTGCAGGCTTTGCCCTCTTCTTGGTCAGTGGATAAAGACGAGTCCCAGCACCACCTCCAAGTATAATGCCAAGCACACTCTACAAACATCATCACCAAATCAAAACACTTTAAATCACAATTCAAACATCATAGGATCAAAATTCACTATTGTGATCTAAAAATCTCATTTTTCCAATTTGATCCGCTAGTACACCCTTACAAATACATGAAATTTCACATTTTTTTTTCATCACTAATATTATGTTGACAAAGACAAAGAGTAGTGAAGAAAGGAGGTAAACTCACTCTGCTAGCATCGGGATCGAGGCACGTCTGTGAGTTTTGGGAATCAGAAACTGCCTTGGGAGAAACGATCACAGGATTGCGCACTCTTTTTGGTGGCAATGAAAGTGAATCTGTGGAAATCTTGTCACCAGAGAGTTGTGATGCAGAGAATGAGAGGCTGCGTGGGACGCTTTTCCTTCCCACATTGGATGAGCACGAAGAAGCAGAGCATGGCACATTCAGAGAACCTATAGCAGCCATGGAAGCCATTGCTCTCTATCTGTGTGTGTGTGTGTTGTGTGAGAGAGTATCACTGAAAGAAAGAAATAAGAGAGTGTGTGGTTCAGAATGGGTAAGTGGCTCTCATATTTTGGAAGTGTTATAGAGCGCAGAGATATTATTACAAATTTGATGGGTGATTTTATTATTTAAAAAATGGAAAATAAGGACAAAGGAGATTATGGTAAGATAGAGATGCAATCGCAAGTGGAACGAAAATCGGGGGTGAGGCGAGGCTCAAGAGCTTTTGAACCGTTCTTTTTATTCCACACAGGCTGGCAGGGTAATTTCATGCTTCAAGCACCACCGTTGAGGATCTCACTTGCGACTTGCCTCATCACATTGTGTTTTGTCTTCTTTTGCACATGTAAGAAATATTCTAGCTATTTTTCTCAAATTTCATGATTTTTTTATCCAGTACTGTTTGTAAATAAATATACTATGGTAGCTACAGTTTACTACTATGTGAAACCATTTAAAATAGGGTAGCTTGTACTTGAAAAGGTGGATACTTATACTACAATTCAGTACGATTTTTATTTTTTTTCCTGGTTAGAAAACGATTATAAAATTGGTGGACCAAAGGGGCAGAAAGCCCAAAAATAGAGAAAATAAATAAATAAATCAGGGCCTATAAGATCAGAGCCAAAATTATCAGTAAAATAATCTAACGAAGCAAATGAGGAGGTTTTTTCAAAATAGTGATAAGATGTTATGATCATGCATGTATAAAATACAAGACGATACCTAGTGAGTGAAATTGATAAACTATCATCTTCATCCGTAAAGGATTACCTTTAGAAAATATTAGAGATTATCCAAGTTTAAAATATTTAAAAAAAAAATAAAATTGGACTTCCTAACTTTAAAATTTAATTTGTATACTTGTGTTTGATTGTATATGCACATTCCCAAGAATAATTCTGTAAATCCCAGCACCATTGTCAAAAGTGATCCTACAAATCACATCGCCATCATTTTTACCCCGACCTTAAATTGTAGCTGAAAGTATCATCAATCAACCGAGTCAATTGAACAAGGTTGATTGGCCAAAAACCAGGACAATAATGAACTATATTTTTTAAATATTAAAAATCTCTTCAAATTAGTTTTTAGACATTAAAAAATATTTAAGTCATAGATATTTAATATTTAGTATATAATTTTATCATTTTAAGTATTACTTGAGGGTTAAAATAATTTTTTTGATAAAACAAATCGGTAATTTATTGGGGTGAACTCATTCAAGGCTGTCTCCGGTGTTTTGAGATTAAGTGGTAGTTAATAGGTATGCTACATATTTGGGAATCATGTGATCGATGTGCATATTCATTATGCCCTTATCCTAAAGTTGAGGGCATCCCTTTAATGACACTGGATAGGTGAATGAGTTTCATTTTATGATTATTAAGGGTGTATGTGGTTACCAATAATATGTAAACTTAAATCGATTTAAATTGATTTAATAAGTTTATGTGTTTCTTTTTTCCCTTTTTTTTTTAATAAATATTTGAGTCGGATTCAATTTAATTTGATCAACATTCGACATTATATAGATCGGATAATAATTTTTTGTATTTTTAACTTATGACTTAATTTGATATGATCATATAATAATAATAATAATAATAATAATAATAATAATAATAATAATAATAATAATATTGTATGATTATTTGTTTAAGATAATATTTTTTTATCATTATACTTAGTAATAAATATTATATTTTTAAATTAATAATATATTTTTTTTATTAATGTTGATTATTTAAATTGATCAATATAATAAATCAACAAATTTTATTTTAGAATATAATTTGTATCATTAATAACCTTATATTTATAACAAGATATTAAATAATTTACGTTTATAATATTTACTTTTTATAAAAATAAATAAATTTAATTATATTAATTTAATTAACTCGATTCAATCCAATATATTTGTGATCGAATTAAATTAGATTAACTTAAAAAAAATAATTCACAAACTTAATTTAATATAATATATTGAATTTTAATTAAATTAGATAATAAATTCTAATCTAATTCAACTCACTTACATCCCTATCCCCAATTATTTTGTTTTATAGTATATATTATTCAATACATAAATATGATTAACAAAAAAAAAAATTGTCATTGGAAGGTGATCACATGGTTAGCATTGCAGTCTTGTACCTTTTCTTTAAAAGCTTGCTTTCCTATGTAGATAGTATAGTAATTAATTAGTAAACCTAAACCATCCCGGCACTGACTTGTATGCCACTTCGAGAATGAAGTTCTCTGATAGACACCAGCTTTCATACATGGACTTGAGAAGGCTCTTAATTTTTATTTATGTTACATTCTTTTTTTGTTGGTATTTTGGGTTTAGAAATTGGAACTTCTGATTCACTATTCAATTTAATTTGTTTTCTTTCAACAGGAGGATCATAATCATTAAAATTGGGTGCAGATTTTCTTTACATGGTATCTAGCTAGTGAATGCCATCAATGTCTCAAATCCTTATCTTTCAATACAATTCCATGTTCAGTTAAACTCCGGGCACCTTTGTAAGGAGAAATTATTATTTAGTTGAAATCACTGAGGATTTTAATTAATACGAGTTTAAGTTTTTAATATTTTTAAAAAAGACTTAAATATGTTTTTAATTCTTTAAATTTAAGATAAATTTGTTTTTATCCCTTAAATTTAAAATTATTGTTTTTAATCCCTGTAATTTTAAAAAATTTGTTTTAATCTCTCAAGTCACCAATAACATATATCAAAATGACTAATTAAGACAATTATGTAATATCAATCAGATTTAATATAATATTTTTACTAATAAGGATATCAATAGATGAATTTTATGCAATAATATTTGATAAATTTTTTTAACAAAGATTAAATATAAAGATTAAAATAAGATTTTTTTGAAATTACATAGACTAAAAATAATAATTTTAAATTTGAAGGACCAAAATAGATTTAACCTAAATTTGAGAGACTAAAAACATATTTAAGTCTTTAAAAAATTAATAACATCTTAAATTTTTAAGACACTTAATTTAATGCTATATAAAGATTAATTATAAGATCATTATTATTTTAAGGATCTTGTTAACCAGTATTCTTAAGACACTGATTTAAGAGTTAATAAATATTTTTTTTATTAAAAACTAAAATGAAGTTACACTATAGAATGTGAAAATCAACTTTTTATCATTAACAAATTTTTTACTTTTAATTTCTTAACTAGTGTTCAAAACACTTTTATCATTTTTCTTATTCTAATCCATCTTAATTAGAGTTTTCCGTTAATTAAGAGTTGTCATTAATTGTATGATACAAGAACCGTTGTGTTATTGAAAATTTGGAAGCAGAATGGAGGCATAGCTAACTACGGGTGAATATATGCTAATGCTAAGCTCGAATCTAATTTTACATCAATTTTGTTGCTGAAGGATTAGTTTCATATATAAAATATGTTAAAAGAAAAATTGGGGATTGCGGGGCATATTTCTTACTGAATTGTGTAAATAAAGTTAGTGAAAATTATATAGAATCAATGATCAGTACCTCACGCAATAGTCCAATATTATAATTTCATTTCAAAGGGAAAAGGGTTACGTCTGGCAAAGGATGGGCGTTAACCAGGTATATGTCATTTTATTTTATGAAAATGATCTTGCTATGATTGTAGAACTGCATTATTTTGAATTGACTTTCTTATATTTTGCTATTACTTGGAACATATTTGATGAATTTATGGTCTGAATCCAACAGATATATAATTTCATAAAGGACCAATTTCCTAATATACTAAAATCTATTTAAGGTAATGATATTTTTAATAATTTTTTTATACAAATGACTTAAAAATTAAATATCTGAATATGTATATATAAGGAATAATATTATCTTTGACTTTTTTTTAGACAAGAATATCTGTGAATTAATAATCTCATATCATGTCAGTATATATTTGACGACTTAATCTTATATACTGCACGTTAAACAAAAATACTTTCCTTATCTAATTAAATATTATCAAGAATTTGATATATGTTGATCGATCCTCTTATAACTTGAAAATATAACATTACATCCAAATTTTTATAAGTAACTTATTAAAATTTTTATTTTATTATAAATGTCATTTATTATATCACATTATTTTTAAATAATTTATATTATATTTTAAAAGTTTTGTTTCAATAAATAGTTTTTATAAACATTTCATATTTTTATAATTTTTTATTTACACTTCAT